CGACAGTTGCCCTCAATTTTTATTTTGGATGAACATTTTCATCAAACTTTCATTAAGAAAGATGAAAGAAAAACAGGCACATACAAGAAAACTAGCCGCACAAAAGGAGTCCTAAATCTAACTGGGCAGAAAAGGACTCTAATCCAAAATAATAAAGTCTAACTAATCATTACAAAAATGGCTTATGTCCTAAGGGAAGAGTTGTCCTCAAAATTATGGCTTAATTTTTTTTTCCCGTTCAGGTATATTGAAGCTAGCAAAGCTCGCCTTTATCAATCTGGAGGCCACTCAGTTACTTTGGCACAAGCTGTGTTGTTGTATGTTTTTGAAAATATTCTCAAATTACTACATCCTTTCATGCCATTTGTGACTGAGGAACTTTGGCAGGTTAATGGTTTGTCTAAATTTTTTCCCACTTGACTTGATTTTAAACCTGTCCAGATCATATTGATTCGATGTCTCTTTTCTTAACTACAGGCACTTCCTCATCGCAAAGAAGCTTTAATTATATCTCCTTGGCCACAAAGTTCGCTACCAAGGCAGGCCAGTGCGGTTAAGAAATTTGAGAACCTAAAATTGTTGGTGAGCCTGTTTTGTTTCGTCGTTATTGCTATAATTATTTTCCTTTTTCAGAAACCATGAATAATTGAGTATTGGTTTTCTATGTTTTTTGATTGAAGACAAGAGCAATCCGGAATGCTAGAGCAGAATACTCAGTTGAGTCAGCAAAGCGTATTTCGGCTTCTATAGTTGCAAGTGAAGAAGTGAATCAATATATATCTGTAAGTATTATTTATATTTTTAACATAGCCTAATTATGATAGAGTAGATCCTTGTTTAAATAGTGATTGTTGTCCCTGGTACCATAGCATATTTTGCCAAGGTGAATCCCCTAAACAGATTTTTGTAAACTGACTAATTTGATACAAGATTGCTAAAACTATAATTTGTGAAAGGGGAATAATGGCATTTACACTAGATAAGAGCTTATAATATAACTCTATCAAAATAGTTATTAGACTCGATTGTTCCTTTCAATCCATAAACTCTACAGGAAGGCTCTAATAATCTGATTTCAAAGAATCCAAACGAGACCCACCAAAAGTCTCGTGAAGAAGGATCCTTGGGTTTGTATGAATAGGGAAGCACCATCCGAATGCAACCCTGATTCTGTTCCAATAACCCGAAGCATAGTTGCAAGATACAAAGCGGTGGCCTAGTGATTCAACATCTTTTTATCCATTATGCTGTTTTTTTTTAACAAGTAACGAACTTTTCATTAATCAATGAAAATGAACAAAATTGTTCAAAGATACGAACTCCGAAAGGAGTGAGCAAAAATAAAATAGAATCCTCTCAAAGTAAAGAAACACCTCTATGGGGGAGTTATAAATGCCTCCTAATTCATACAAAGCAAGCTAGGAGAATAAGAAGAGAATAAATCGGAAAGAACACACCATTGTGCGGCTTTGAACTTGGCTATAGAAAAACAGTCCATATAAGATCGATGTTTGCCTTCGAACACTCTCTGATTTCTTTCGAACCACAATTCCTATATAAGAGCTTTGAATCCATTGGTCCATAGGAGGTTTGCCTTTGGATTATCCCTCGAATGGAAGAAAAGCTGCTGAATGATATGAGAAACGTCCAAGTCCCATCCCCTGGAGACATTAAACATTAATAAAAACAACTTCCAGCATTCCATCGCATAAGAGCAAGAGAAGAAAATGTGCCTTTGGCTCTCACCACTATCCATAGACAATAGACAAACCGAAGGTTGCATCAACATAGAAGGTAATTTCTTTTGAAGAATCTCTGATGTGTTTAGTTTCCCATAAGAAGAATACAAGTCAGAAAATTGACCCTCTTTGGACAATTAGAATTCCATAAGGCAGAAAAAACATCATTGGGAATATTAGAAGAAAAATTCACAAACTTGCTTAATGAGCGAACCGAGAAAGTACCTAAAGCCTCCAAACACCAAACTTGAGGGTCTTCAGCTTCGATAGGTGAAAAAGAGGAAAATAAACATAAAAGATYAGTCATTTCCACAACTTCCTCATCTTTCAGAGAGCGCCTTTAACAGAAATGGAGAAGCCAATATTATACCAAGCATCGGCAATCGAAATTGAGGGATCTGCAGAGATCCTAAAAAGGCCTGGAAATTTATCCTTTAACAGAACCTCTCCCACCCATAAATGATGCCAAAACAAGCTTCTCCTTCCATTCCCAACTTTGATACGGGAGAACAAAGCCACCTGTTGCCAAGCTTTTGAAATATTGTGCCAAGGGCTTCTACTAGAACCAACCCTCCATCCACCGAAGTCAGATCCATGGATACTATCCACTACTGCCCTCCATGAAGCTGAGGTTTCAACCCCAAAACACCAACCCCACTTGGCTAACAAGGTACTATTCCTTTTTCAGAGATTCTCAATGCCTAGACCACCATCATCCCAAGCTAAAGTGATAATATCCCATCTCACCAAATGGTTCACGAACCTTTGGATGAATCACCCCAAAGAAAAGAGCGAATGCTTTTCTCCAATTTCTTACAGATTCGCTTAGGAGCCTGGAATAGAGAAAAGTAATATAATGGGAGGTGTTCAAGGACCGATTGGCATAAAGTCAATATGCCACCTCTTGAAAGTTGATATCGCTTCCATCGGTCCAACTTTTTGAGAATTTTGTCTTGGATAGGATTCCAAAAACCATCATGCTTTGGATTACCCCCCAATGGCATGCCTAAATAAAGCATCTGAAGAGATTCAGCCTTACAAATTATGCTTTTAGGATAAAACTTTTGCAGATTATCAATCTATAATGGGTTGTTCCCCTGTCGGTAGAAGACCTAGGGTATTCAACGAAGCTTACAATCAAATGATCTAGAATAAACCTCATAATTCAAATCACGATCTATTCCTATTCCTTCTCCACCAGTAGCTGTTCAAGCGCTTCCTATATGCCATTATAATGATATGTATTATGAATACGAATGACCTAGAACAACATGAGAGGCAGCTAAACAGTCGATTATGAACTACAGAAGGATTCAGGTCTTTGCCTAGAACTACRGAAGAATAACGAAAAATTAGGTCTCTTAGAATTGAATTCCTATTCTTAACCGGGCTAAGCGGAGCAAAAAGGGTTTTTCATGAGATGGGAAATGAAAACTATTAGCCTTGCCTTCGTAATTCCTGAAACTTCTTCATGGTGGCTTCATTCCAAGCCTCATTTCATAGAGAACCTCTAAGTGCCACATAGTAGCACAACTGACAATAAATCTCTTTGGCAACGTTACGTAACACGATGATAACTTGATTTTTCCTGTATGATGCAGGAGGAAAAGGAAGTTTTAGCTCTTTTTACTCGACTGGATCTAAATAATGTCCATTTTGCAAACTCTCCTCCAGGTATGTCTATTACAAGAGTAAAATTTTCTCATTTCCAGGCTACCAATGTTTATGTGCATGAATATTGATGGGTTCTAAACTCTAAGCATTATCAAAGTTTTGAAGCATCCTGGTGCATATGATTTTAAATATCTCAGGAAATGTAGATCAATCAGTTCATCTTGTAGCTGGTGAAGGACTTGAGGCTTATCTACCTCTTGCCRATATGGTTGATATTTCAGTCGAACTCCAACGCTTATCAAAGCGCCTATCGAAAATGAAGATGGAGTATGATGGATTTATAGCTCGCCTCAATTCTCCAAGCGTAAGAACTTGCTTAGAGACATACTTCAGATTAATACATATTCATAACATGCATTTGCTTTGAAATTAAAATTCGAATTTTAGGCTTGTGTTAGGGGTTCCAGAATTTCAAAAAGTGTTTAATATGTTTCTAAACTTTCAATTTTGTATCTAAAAGKTCTCTACCTTAGAAAAAAAATGTCTAATAAGTTCTTTTTTAATTCACAAATCTATTAGACACAAAATTGGAGGGTCAAGTTTGTGAATTTTTTAAAATGTCAAATATGCTAGGACCTATCGAATAAAATTGAAAATTCAGATACCTATGWAACAATTGAAAATTTAGGGATATAAGACTTGGGGACTAAAATCTAAAACAACTTTACATCAAAAAGACTTCAATTAGACACAATCTTTTGCTTTTTCTTCCTCTAGGAAACATATAATCTGAAAAGACTATAATTGAACATCGAATCATGTACCAACTCCGTACAATCGGGTTTGTTCTTGCAGTTTGTAGAGAAAGCTCCTGAAGACATCGTTCGTGGGGTAAGAGAAAAGGCCGAAGAAGCAAAAGAGAAGATAGCTCTCATCGAGAAGCGCTTCTTTCTCCTCAGATCAACTGTTCCAGTTCCTGATCGTTAACCATCACCACCTTACCAAAGAACAGTTCTAATTTTCACAGTCCAATTGCTTTCGTAACTGTCCATCGTTGAAAGAAGGAACAAGGAACCGATTGACACCTTCTTCCCGAGGCTTCCCGAGTTAAAAGAGCTTCATCTCTTTGGTGAGTCAGTGCTCTCCTCCATCCCATGAAGAGAAAGTTCAACTGATAAAAGCAGTGCAGCCCCATGCCACCACCAGAAGTACAGGGATTAGTTGATTGCTACCAATTAACTTATTGTATGTTAGACAAAATAATTCACATCCATTTTTTTCCACTGAAATATAAATGCTATCATATGTAGTTTTAGCATTAGAGAGAGTTTTCGTATKCAATAAATTTGAGTTATTGACGCAAGCATAGCTCTGAGTGATCATATAGGTTTGAATCTATTTTTCTTATTTATAATTTAATACTCTACAATGAAATAAAAATAGATGTAAAATAAATTTTAATTCATGTCATTGATTTTTCTTTAATTCATTACATAAATATGAGTTTGTTTTGGAACTTGACATCCAATATATTACTTAGTCCATATAGACATTAATTCATGAAGTGATGGACAAAATATATGTATATGTTATGTTTCTAATAAATAATTTTTTGAAAAATGTAAAGATCGAAATAGCTTGTCATGCAAAGTTTGGTGAGTAAAACATGATGTTTGAAATACAATTAGCACGGGAGTTTAGGAACTAAAAWAAGATTTCAACCTTTTTTTTATTTAAAAAAAAGTTCTTTACTTATGAACTGCATGTTGGATATTAAAAAGATTGACACCGTATGAGAACCGAAAATTATTATCTTTCAAAGAATAATTATGAAGTTGAATTTATATAGAAAGAGATTCATTAGCTGAATATCGTCAATTTAAGTCTAGCTCAATGGGTTGAGTCATATAAAGTTTATTCATAGTAATATCCCACCTATTATAATAGTTATGATAATATGGTATGATTATAAGTATGAATATAACAACACGGTAGATTTGCATGTACAGAAAAAAAATACAGTCCAAATTCACTTATTGAAAAGACTTAAAAGTATTTTGATAGGCATATATCACTAATATACAATTTTTTTTTTAACATTTTTTTTTTTACTTTAATTAACAATGATATCATAGATGTGTATTAATGAATGGTCCATCATATATAATGGTAAAAGAAAAATTACTTTAAAATGTCTAAATAGACACACACAAAAAAATTAAAAATTATATTTATATATTTTGTGCAAAATCATAATTTCTTACTATATTTGAAAATATGGCAAAATTACTGCCCACTAAAATTAGAAAAAAAAAATGTAATTTTTGAAAATTTGTAGATTTATCCATAACTAGTGAAAATGGAAAAGGGTAGTCAAAACGAGTGGACGAGTGGCACATCCATTGAACATGAACTTCCAAGAGGCCATTGATTTACTGTCGTTTCCTCCATCCATTTTCATTCCCATTCTTTGTCTGATTGTGTTGGCTTTCACGGGGCCATAGATTTTGCTTGTGGTTCCTATTTCTCCCCCCGCCTTTGCTTCCCCCTTTCTCCCTCACTGCAAATTTTGCTGCATTTCCTTTCCCCTTTCTCCTGTCTGCTCTCTTTTGCTTCTTTGAACAGGTTAGATTTGTTTGGCAGCGTGCTCAGATGCTCTCACCACCGCTTTTTCTTTGATGGGTTCTTTCTATGATCGTGTTTTAAGCTTTTAATTCTGGAATTCTGTCATCACCCTACTTTGATCTTCATATTTGCCGTGTTGCTTAATGTTAACTCGTTTGGTTCTTGTAGCTTAATTTTGATTGTTTTCTCTTTTGAATTATGCTTGGTGTCAAAAATAGAGTGAGTGTAGGAGTTATCACTCTTTGATCCTAGTATCTGAACTTTATTTCCATCCAACAGTGGTTTTGTTCCTGAAAGAATGAATTTTCCAAATGGCGAGCAAGATTCTTTCCTAAACTATTTGCTGATTTCCTTGACTGTGATGGACTTTTCTCGAATGAATGGGATTATTAGGAGCAACAAGCTGATATGATTCGCTAACTCATATGCTTTGTGACATAGAAAAAACTAATATGGAGGATCCCTCGTTTAGCAACATTACCAGTACTTAACTTTTCTTCATAACAGAAGACCCAAGAAAAACCTGATTTATAGCTTTGAGATTTGCTAATCCTAGTTCTAAACCACCCGAGAATGGTGAACCATAGTGCAGCTTAAGAGTCCGTTAGCTGCTTTTGTTGTGATGTACAAACCATAGTGTGAGAGTACTAATAGGGACAGTTTGGAAATAGTATTASTGTATTAGTTAGGGGCGTTATAATTAGGAGTAGTTTAGATATAAATAGAGGTAGTAGGGAGAGAATGAGGACATGTTTTGGATTAGTCTAGGGTGTGGAACTTGGGAGAGAGATAGCACTCTCAAAAGGCTATTAATATTGTAATTGCTCTTTAATTTTACAATATAATTATATTGTTACTTTCTTGTAATCAGGATCCTAACACATAGCTGTTTAGGCATATTTGTTCAGACCTGAATATTTAGAAAAATCATTACATCAAGTATGATTACCTAATTCATGGTTTGTTGTGAATGTCAATATTGTTGATCAACTGTGAAAAAATGGTTGATTTCCTGTTCCTGTAATCATCATCTAACCAAATGGATCTAAACTGCCATAAATGCGCATGTTTCATATACAAGCAGCTATTCGTTACAAAGGATAAATATTTAATTTATGCGTTCTTGCTTAATTTTAACACACCTGGTAGTTTTATTTGCTTTACTTATGTAGAGATCACTATAGATTATGTGTACCTGGTTTTGCTATGAGTTATCCTAAAAGCACATTCCTTGCTAATGCTAGGTTTGTCCCTTTTCCTCACTGATTCTTCCATGGCATTAACTGCAACCAAGGTTTCAAGCAGCCCAGTTGTCACCAGTAAGGCAACTGTATTTAATTCTTATGGAACTTTTTCTTCTTTATCCAAGTCAACAGAACATGAAAAATTAAATCCGTCAAGCTGTAGAGTTGACATTGGGGAGCTCCATGGATGTCTCTTGGCAGCAAAGGTTAAAGTTTCTAGTCTTGGGCGGCGGAACTCATATGGAAAACCTKTGTGCTTTACCCTGCCCCGAAAACCTGCAGTATTATGTTTCTCAACAGGAACTCATCAAACAGAAACAAAAGAATGTGCTAGGCCTAATGATAGTTCTGCAGGTTTAAGATGGTAAGATGATGCAAACGATCATTGGTGAATTTTCTGACATGTTTTATGCTAGATAGTATGGAGGATCAGGGGCTATTGAATGCTGATATAATCTAAAAGATGTAAATTATTTATCTCCTTGCCTTATTTTGTATACTCTCTCCTTTGTTGTTAATGAAATCTTTGTCTCATAAAAAAAAATGTAAATTCTTTATTTTAAGAGTAAATATTGCACATTCAATCAATTTGTTGCTGATCTGTTTGCAATGGTTTTGAAGCTGTATATGATTTTGAATTTGTTAATAATCAGTGCAATCACATAATTGGCCATAGTTGTCAATTAACATGAACTATTACTTGTAGCACTATTTTGAGCTTGCATAATAAGATTACTTATATACCAAATCAGTGCCCAAACTGGAGACGATGAAGATGAGCAGCCAACTGTGCCTAGAAGGACCATTAAGTCCAACCAAGGAATATCTGAAGCCTGTCGATTTGCATACAATGATGCGAAGTTTGTAAATGAAAGGGCTCACAATGATATTGTWTTGCTTTCTCGGTAATATCCATGATTCAGAATCCTTTTTTTTTTTTTTTTTTTTGTGGCTGTAATGATATCTGTCTAACTGCTTCAATGAAGTTTATCAGCATCAATTATTAGTATTCAATCTCTTACATGTGTTTTAAATGATCATGATAGATTTAAATGTAATAGTTGAGACATTTTGGGTAATTTGATTTTGGGGGAAAAAATAATTATCCTGCTTATCATGATTAAATGAATTTGTTCCGTTTGTTCCACTGTGATTGTATTTACATCTTTTCCTACTATTGTCAATTTGTCAGTGGCATAATGAGGCTGGATGCACGTGCACGTAAAGATGTTGCTATCCTTGGATCCAAGTTTCTTAAGCTTGACGGTATCCATTTATTTTAGATGCAGTGTTTCCCTACGTTGTATGCCTGCATATCTGGTCTTTGATACTCAAAAACCTGGAGGATCWAAAATTATTTTTATGCGTGTCCTAAATTGTTTTTCTGGGAGTATGTCATCATCATGTTAGTGTATATGTTTCTCTTATTGATTTGTTCTTTTTCACTACCACTTCTGAGCCAATTCACTTTYCATTTCCCTACCGCTTCTGAGCCAATTAAAATGGCATCCAAATTTTGCATCCTTCTACAAAAGTTGCTTAACCTTCGTGAATAGTGGAAGGAGGAGCTTTTTTCAGGCGGTCAGCAAGGACTTTAGATATAATCTTATAGAGGGAGGGAACCAAATTGATCGGTCTGAAATTGTTAACCGTCCATGCCCTTTCTTCTTTGGAATAAGGCAAACAAAAGTTTTACTCGTTCTCCTACTAATGATTCCATTTTGAAAAAAATCATGGAACACTCCTAAATCGGATTTCGAAGTGTTCCATGCTTTTTTTTTGTAAAACTCGTTTGTCATCCTATCGGGCCATGGAGACTTCAAATTACTCAAACCAGCGACCGSTTTATGAATTTCCTCCTGCTGGTTACCATCAACAGTTCTKCCTTGGATATTAACCATTGGACAAGGCCCCCTATCGGATATCCATCGGGCATGGGCTACGTCCTCTTTCACTGTAGAATCTCTTACCTGCCTACGGTGAGAAACAGTTCTTTTCATTCTATGTTTGTCAGCACCATGGATTCTTCCATCTGGTCAATCCAAATTTGGAATTGGTTATAATTTTATTCTCTATAGTTTTTTAAGTTTACTTTCCCCTTTTCATGGCATCCACCAGTAATATTCCAGCTTTTGAAATATGAGCTTTTTTCTTTTCTTTCTTTTTCTTTTGTTTATTTTGTGCATCCTAGTCTCATATAGCATATTCTTTTTGTCACTAGTAATTTTACAACATAACTTGTAGAGAGCCTAACTCCAATGTTCTGTGCACTTCCCCCTCTATGGAATTTGAATGTCATTCCTGTTGCTGGGTTGTTGAATATTCTTCCTGTTKCTAAAGTATGAAGTTGCTATTTAGTTGTGTATTTCGGCCTAATGGTTTTATTGGCTTTTTTCTGGTTAGCTCGAGCTAGAGAAGATACAGAAACAATTGACCGTAAAGTGAAGAAAAAAGCTGAGCGACTTCAACGCATTGCTACAGTATGTGCAATTTTGACAATTTTGTGTCTCATTTTGATTGAGTACTAAAGCTATTTAATAGGTTATTGAACTTCTATTCTCTTCCAGACCTTGAGAGAAAAGGCTCACTCTAGACTAAAAAGTGCTGCTGATGAGCATTGGAGTGATGGAGCCTTAGAGGTACCTTGGTGTATCCAAATATTCTTTATTGTAGTTACTCTTGATGTATGTATTGATGATGAAAATCTGTTCCAAGTTGGGAGATTATATCATTGGATGGAGTAGAGACTGCAGCCAGAGTCATAGTGGTGGGGGATTGATAGAACCTGAAATATATTGAAAGATAAAAGATAAACGAACTACAATAGCTACTAAGTATTAGAGGTACTTGGAYCCTCCCCTCTTGAGATATCACGCAAGCGAAAACCATACTCACTAATTGGATACCTTCATTCTTACACCCTCACTTTATTTAYAATACTCTCCGTAACAACTTTCTATATCTAATTACTAAGGTATCCTCAATACCCTACTAATATCCCTAATTACCCTTAAAACCATTCCTATCAGGGATTTGAAGTTTTTTCAGGATTTTTGTGGGCAGGATTTGGGAGGATGTTGAGTCGGTTGGGGGCTTACCATTTGGTGGAATTGTTTGCTGGGTTTAATCAGCACTACCATCTGGTGGACTAAAGAGACTGCTAGATTCTGATATAACTTGGACTAAATTAAACATATTCTGGCTGCAAGATTTTCAATGGCCAGTCTACTAGACTAAATTTTTCCTTAGATGTTTTATATGGCTTTGCTTTCCAATGGTGTCGACTTGCAGATAAGTTAGCTATTAGATCCTTGTTTTTTTATTCTTTTCTGGTCTTCTTCTGTTTCTTAACTGGTAGAATTAATGGAAATTTAATGTAATAGCTCTCATYGCGGGCTTCATAATTCCCAGGCTGATTTGCGGTTGGCCGATTTCCGTGCTAAACAGCGGGCAATGGAAGATGCCCTGATGGCTTTGGAGGTAAATCATTTGTACTACAGTACTAGTTTGAAGAACTGTAGATGATGTGAGCATGCCAAAGTTGGGCAAAACTTTCTTCAGTCATTTGATGTGGTTTTTAAGTTTTGCTATATTATTTTTTGCTTCCAAGAAAGATAAGATATGACCTTTCTCTTCTGTACTATATTGTTGCAGTTTGTCAAAAATATTCATGACATGATGGTGAGAAAGATGTATAAATTGTGAGTTATTTTTATGCTTGAAAATATTTCTCCCCATTTACTCCCTGTAGTCCATTTTCCAATATTGAACATATTTGATATCTAACCACAATATATGCAGTCCTCTGGCAAACGAAACGGGTTTTCCAACTGCCAATGACATGATGGGGCGTATAAAACTAGAAAAAAATGGAAAGAGCCTAGATTTTTTAACTGGTGAACTACCAACTGATCGCATTTCTGCAATTCAGGTATCTTTATTAATAGCCATCAACAATCCTCTTCCATTTTGGAATTTTTATCCATAACCACAATATTCTTCATCTGCTGAATGTATAGGAGATTTATTGGAGTATGGCCTCTGCCCTCTCTGAAGCTGATGGAATTGATTATACTGATCCAGAAGAGGTCTGAATTACCATGCGTCAATTTTCCAATAACATCGATAATGGTTTTCTGTTTGCTCATAAGTTATTTCTATCTCGCGTAGCTCGAGCTGTTGATTAGAACTCTTATAGATCTTGATGCAATGGATGGCAAAAGCAGTGTATCTCTACTTGCAGAATGTTCCAGCTCTCCAGACGAAAATACTAGGTACTGATTTCAGCTTCGCTAAACTATTGTCTAATGTTAATATATCAAGAAACACAACCAACTCCCAAATAAAGTATATTTAGTGGTGGAGGAGAAATTATTCGAGGGGTTGGAATAATATGGCTAATGATCCTACAGCGTTGGATGGATGAAATAGAATTTAAAACTGTATTTTGAACATGTATCTAATGGTTATTGAGCGCAAATAGATTTTGAATCTATATATATATATCCAACAGTTATGTAGCTGCCTCATTGAATAATTTTTTGTGGTGAGGTAGTAGTTTTGTAGGTATTTTGTTACTCGTGATGACTCATTTCTATAGATGAAGACAATTTTGATTCCCAATGAATAAAATAACCTAGAAGAATATACGGAGCTTTGATGRTAAGTGTTTATGATGTTCTGAGATACCTTCCAAGGTCGTAGGTTTAAGCCTCCACATTGAGAACTGAACTTGTTTGAGAACTGCACTTGTCAAGTTTTGAGATACTTGTGAAGATCTTGGATTTAAGCGTCCACCTCGAGAACTGAACTTGTCAAAACGTTAAACGTTTTGAGATACTTGTCAAGATCTTGGATTTTAGCCTCCAAATTGGGAGGTGAATTTAAAACTTTTATTGTTTCTCAAAGTTGGCTTTGGAGTAGGCGGCAAAGGCCTTTAAGTGATTGTGAAGGTGGATGAGCATAATGCAAAAAATGGACCTCAACGATCCGATTATCATAGAACATTAAACATTAAACATTAAATTCATAAGCTTGTGTTTTGTTTATAAATTTTGTGATTTTGATGAAAGTCAATTCAGAATACCGGGTTACAAAATCGACTAGATCATCCCTTGATGTGTGCTATTTTGCTGATTATTGGTTGATTGGGGTTAAATTTTACYGTGATTTTTGTTATGAAGACAAGCATTGGCCAATGCTCTGGCAGCAGCCCCATCCATGTGGACTCTTGGAAATGCAGGCATGGGAGCATTGCAGGTAAATCCTCTCCCTAGGATATAGTTTTACATTTCCATCTCACGAGTTTATCATCGACACCTGAATCAACATTCTCGTTATATCGTAAAATAATTGTCAAAATGTAAGAARATATCAATAAAATATAACTAACATGGACATAACATTAACGATAAGAATTTTTAACTTGTTTAAAAGGGTGAGATGCTTATTTGTTACTCTAAATATATCTTATCAACATCAATATTTAAAAATTTAGTCTCTCTTTTCTCTCTGTCTCTGATGCTTGTTTGTTCGTTCGGTTTTGCAGAGACTTGCAGAGGACAGTAACCCAGCAATTGCTTCTGCAGCGTCCAGCGCCATTAAAGAACTGAAGACACAGTGGGAAATAGAAGAAGGAGATAGCTGGAGCTTCACACTCAACCAGAAGGCCACCATGGAAGCTGATGATGATGATTCAAATCCATTTTGAGAAGAAATCCTTATTAGGAAGAACAATCTTTAACTGTAGATAGCTAAATAAATTGAAGGGCATAGGGAAAGAAAAACCCTAATCATTACAATGTGATTGGTGGCTGGTGTAAAAGAGGAAACTGAGYCATTTCATCTCATGGGATTTCTCTTGTTCTTATAAAAAAAATAAGGAAATAGTTTATTTTTTCTTTTTTAATCAGGAATTCTCGCATTTTTAATCAGAACGAGGGAGGTGAAAATACGAAAGAAATATAATTGGGATGAAAAACGTCTATTGGCTAATGGAKAAGACCAGAGGTGTTTTAAACCTTTGATATAGGTAGGGTATTAAATTTTCTGTTGACATGTCAATATTTTCAAATATGTCCATCAGTTCGATATTGGTATTATTGCAAAATAATGATGGAATAATGCCAATAATAATCATAATAATTGGTAGGATATTAATAAAATCACATTATAGATCTAGTATAATATTAAAAAAAATTTAAATTATTTTAAAATGGTGACGTATTCATTTGTTATTGATTCTTTTTATCGTTATTATGATAGAGACATCTAAAATTTGATATAAGTTGAATTCTTATCGGATGTAATTCTCTTTATTTATATAATATAATTTGATTCTATTTTTGAGAAATAAGATTAATGAACAATATAAYCTTATTATTTATTAAGTTTAAGATGATTTAAAATTTTAGAATTAAATGTGTGACACAACTACATAACTACAAAGGTAAAAAAAAWTTAAAAAAAGGAATAATAAAATTTTTAGGGTAGAGTATGTTGATTTWCAATTACATCATCATAATCAGACTACTTAAATTAAAATTTAATCAATTTCTAWTTATCTAAAATGTAACAATGTTTAGCCAAAATGACTAATTTGGAGCATATGGTTAATCATTAAAGGTTAAAAGACACATTTGGTCCTTCTACTTTTACTAAAGTAACAATTTAATCCATGAACTTTAGTTTGTAACAATTAGTCCCTGTACTTTTACTAAAGTAACAATATAGTCCCTAAACTTTTACTAAAGTAACAATATAGTCCCTGAACTTTAACTTGTAATGATTYTRTCYCGGTAGTTTAAAATTCGTAACAATTTAGTCTCTATCGTAAAAAAATTATTAAAATTAAGTGTTAAATTTTATCATATAACAATTTAAGCTTTCTAATTTATARACRTATTTAGTTCCTCTTTAGTTTATCAATCTATATATTAAAAAACTTAACAAAACAGTTTCACGAKAAGGACTAAATCGTTACCAATTTTAAATTACAAGAACTAAATTGTTACATATTAAGGTTCAATTACTACCAATTTGAAAGTATAGGAACTAAATCATTATTTCAGCGAAAGTACACGGACCAAAAGTACTTTTTAACCATCATTAAACACGTGCGATCCATCCCCTATTATTACTTAGTCAATCATTAATTACCAATAAAATTAATTAATATAGTGAATCCGTAATTAATATTTGATAACTAAAATAAGACAGTTAATAAAATAAAATCATGTGATAGGGCCATGCAAATATGAAATATAATTATTATAGGGCCATGCAAAGATGGAAATATATTAAAAAAATAAATTAAGTTTGTGTATGAAAGTAGTAGAGAAAGAGAGAATCATAAGGATGACAATGGGGTGGAACAAAGATTCCTCGCATGGTGATCGGGATCCCAACGAAGAAAAATTCATGTCTCGTATATTATTTTTATTTTTTAAGAATTACTTAATTATATTGTTTTTTTAAATTGAACTAATAAGTTTTAAAAATGTTTATTATTTTTAACAAAAATTTAGTTATAAAAGTAAGTAAATATATGTATAATATTTAAAATTTATGGTTGGGAAATGAATCGGGATGGGTCAAAGGCACAGAGGAAAATGSAGTAGAATTTTTGTTATCAGAGAGTTTTACTCACATAAATTAATTTAGTGAATTTTGAAAAATAACAATGAAATGAAATTTATTGGCACATTTTTTCTACCTAAAATATTATTAATGCTTATTTATATTAATACTATCCAGTCAACCCAATTAGGCTAAACATTTAGTTATAGTCAAACCATTAATCGCTTCAAAAAATTATTTAATGAGATATTTAGTGGAACATTAACTGCCCATAAATTTATGATATATTCCATTATTGATTGCCTATAAAACTTTATTATATAGCCAATCATTATCTACAAAATTAAGTGATAAAGTCAATAATTTATTACTCATAAATTAATTGCTATAGAGTATTTATTATTATTATTATTTGACTAAAATTGATATAGAGTATGGTAATAGTATATGTGTGTGAATAACTATATAATGAGTTTTTTTTTTTTTTTAGGATGAACTATATACTAAGAGTTATTTTCAATATATATATTTATTAAGGATTAACCTTTTAGATGAAACACTTTTTTATAAAATGTGTATTTTACTTTAAAATGTTACTCTAAAAAATCATTCCAAAATCAGTAAATTATTTGATACATGGGCTCCAATGAAACTATTTATCACTACAAAAATATTTGATACAAAATCAATTTTGCTATTTATTAATCACGTCTCTCTCTCTCTCCTCTCTCTAATTTGAAATTCCAATTCCCCATTCCTTAATGCTGTCTGGTCCCATGCTGCAGAGAAAAAACAGTAATATTGGATCCTCACAAGTCAGAAGTACTGATTSAGGAAGCACTCTGTTGAAAAGATCCTTTCAATTATCCATCTTCCAAACATACTAAAACAGATCATTCAATACCCCATCAAGTGGGCCAAATTGGCCTTTGACTTCACATAATCAATATGGTCCTCAACCATCTATCAAAAGTACATAAACTGGGATGGGAGCACAGAAAATGAAGCCATCCTAGCCTTTTAGACTTATCTATCGCTCGGTTTTCTTYAGATGAAGCTCGTCCACTTCGGATGAAGCTCGTCCACAAAAGTACAACGATAACTTTCATGAATCGCTGCTGCTGTCTTTCTRCTTCTTCGTTATGAAACTAATCACTTTACCCCATTCTTTTGAATCCCAACCTAACTTATTCCTGTTAAAGACAACGATACCTCTCGTATACCAAATATCTCTCCAATAACCCTCACGTTTTGCTTTTGGTTTCACYCAAAAAGCCTCATACCAAAGTAAATAGTTGTCCTCATCTATATATCATGATCACTTTCGTACCCTACGTTGAACTTTGTTTGCACATCTTGCAACCTCAACAATTCCCACRAATAARTTAAGTACGTTTTGACAAGGAGAAAAACCTGGTCGACAACAAACATAGTTTATGAGCTTTTATCGTAACAGCTTATCAAACATGTGACAAACTCACACCCCATCCATTTTAAATAGGATTTGTCTAGTGATGCACAAGCAATCTAACCCCATATGATTTTCTYGTCTCTTTTGTAGGCTTTTTAAGATATTTTCGCATGTCCTAGCCTATGAGAGTCTGACACTACTAATCCCTTGTGAAACAACTATTTGGGCTTTATTTAGTTGTCAAGAAACTCAAAGACTTGTCAACATACAAATGATTGAAACACTAAGAGAGATTATGATTAGCACAGGTCAATGTTCACTTTGTAAATTGGAAAGCAACAGAGCCTCACAAGCCACTACACCACATTTTACATGAATTACACCCACACCCACACCCACACCCACAACAAACTAATACTAGTTCTACATCTACAACTGCTCACACATCAACAGAGAGAGAGAGAGAGAGAGAGAGAGAGTCAAGGCACTACCAATTAACACTGCACTGCAACAGTCTACTGTTGAACGCCAACTTCAGTCAATGGAGCCTTCGCCTTGGGAGGCCGACCTCTGGGCCTCCCGCTCGGTGCTGGAGGTGCTGTGATGGACGTTGGCCGAGCCAATTTCCTCGGTCGTCCTCTTGGTTTCCCAGTCCCAGAAGATACCTTCATCGTCACTGGCTTCGGTGGCTGTGGAGGTGCATTGGGGTCCTTAGGTGGGCGGCCTCTGGGCTTTGGTGGGGATGATGCCACATTGGACGGCAGAGGCACCTTTGGTTTTGGAGGCCTGCCACGCCCCCGCCGGGGAGGTGCCGTGGGGTCCCTTTTCATGTAGTTGTTCTTCCAAAACACAAGTTCCCCACTGGCTTTCATCATGTTCAAATGGTGTGTGAGCAGAGATGAGTGCCCAGTGGGCAAGTTTCCATAAGTTGATTCTATGTACTTTGATATCGTGGATTTGTTGGAGCCATTGTCACTATTCAATGCTTCAATAGCCCTAAATATCATCTGCAATATCTTAAAAAACCTCCATCAAAAATGGTGTTCCAACCTTATTTTTACTTTCATGATCCATTTTTATCATCTTCAATGGTTTGAAGATCTAAAAAGAGATTTCAAATCAAAATACTTTTTTGTTTGTTTTTTTTAATACAAAACTTTCATTGAGAAAAATGAAAAGAACACGAGCATATAAAAAACAGCCTTACAAGGAAGCCCACTAAAGAAAACAACTCCAAAAAAAGAACACCTAWCTGATAATTACAAAAGCTCCTAGAGACGGAACCCCAGGAACAAGTATTAAACCTAGTYAAATCCCAGATAATTTCCACGGATCTCTAAAATGTAGTGTCAAATCATATTTTTACTAGAGATGTTGCCTTGTTTCAGAGTTCTAACTACAAATCTAACCTCTTCATTCTTTAACTTCTCATTTACATCAAAATATCATATAGCTCAAATCCTCTTCTTTTTTTTTTTTTTAAGTTTTAGAGAATATCCGAACAAAAATTTGTACTCACATTCATGATTCATCTCAAATCTTCTCTCATTTCAAATAAAATTCAAAACTAAAAGTCATTTCTCAATGGACGTTGGAAGTGAAGTATAATTCAAAAAGAATAATAGGAACAAATCATCAAGGGGAAGCTGAATGTCTTTTCGCTCTTCAAAAATCGCATCTAACAAAAAGTATTTCAACAGGAACTGAAAAAATGAGACCCTCAGCTGAATTAACCAAACTTTAATGCCTCTCGAAACAAAAAATAACAATAATAATAAATCTCCGAATATTTGCTCCAAAAGAAATGCCAGATTCGATAAGGAAATGCGAGAAAACTCAAGGAAAGAAGGATGTTCCCCAGTTCATCAAATCATCAAATCATCAAAGAACAAGGAAACGAAATTCACTCACAACACACAAAATTAAAAACAAATCACAAGGAACCCTAATTTAAGAACAAATTTACACACAAACTCACAAACCCAGAACAAATTCAAACAAATTGGAGGCAGTGAGCAGAACATGAGGAAGAATTAAG